ACATCAGGAGAGGAGGAAAAAAAACCCTCTTCCCAAAACCTCCAAAGAGGAGGCTCCGAAAGGAACCCAGGGTCTGAGCCAGAGGCGCAGCCCGCACGGGGAGAAGGGCGGGCACCACACCCAGGCACCCACTGAATCCTCCCTACTCCATCTTGTAGAAGAAACAGGCTTTTAGCACTTTTAAAACCGTCCAGAGTCCCAGAGCCCACACGCAGCAGACCTCAGCGCAACGCACAGCCTGGATCCAAGTGTGTGCTGGCAATCCGCCCGCCACACAGGGAAATGGCCAGCAGCTGCGAAAGGACCTGGGCCCATACCTTGCACTCTTGAGTGTATTCCAGCTGAGAACTATCCGGGATAAAATTAGAAAAATCCTGAAAAGCAAAAAAAGAAAGAAAACACGAGGAGAAAATTTAGATCAAGCAGCATACTGCCAACCTACAAGACAAAAGACAAATTTATTTTTATTTTTTTCAAAAGACAAATTTAAAAAGTGATCAGAAAAGGGGCGCTTGGGGGGCTCAGTCAGTTAAGTGTCTTCCTTCCGCTCCGGTTGTGATCCCGGGTTCCCTGCTGGGGGCAGGGGTGGGAGGGGACACCTGCTCTCCCTCTCCTTCTGCTGCTCCCCCTACTTGTTCTCTCTCATTCTCTCTCGCTCTGTCATGTAAATAAATAAGATCTTTAAAAAAAAAATGTGATCAGAAAAAAACTGATAAAAGACAAGAAAACTAAAAGGACCAATGTGGACAATCCATCTCCTTACAACTCAATTAAAAAAAAAAAGTTAATCTAAATATCCGGTTAGAGTTTAGAAACTGATACTGAAAATCAACTGATTTCAGAGAAATGTGTTGCTGCATCTTGTAAGAGGCTTTCCAAAACTTTTAGTAACGAATACTGACAGAAGGAAATCAGATTCTGCCTCTTCCCAACAGCTTTCACTCTACTTTACCAATGACGACGGTGAATACTTATAACGGCAAAATGGCCAAACGGTGCTCCAACTTTGAACGTCTGTTCCTAGGGGGTCAAGCATTCAAAGATGCAAGAAGTGAGTAAATGGAGCTATTCCAGGTAAAGCTAATTCACCAAGTTGCCAAGAAGGCACCTCACATAATCTATGCCGCTAGCTGTCAATCAATACAAAAAATGCCTGAGGCTTCAAATACTTTAAAAAAAAATTTTTTTAAGTCAAAAATGACAAACTAAGGTCACAAGTATTTATCCCCTGAAACGTCTTTCTCCAAGAATTCCAAAGGCTCAAATACAACAGAACCATAACTTTCATGGCATTAAAATAATAAAGGCTTCCTTTAACGCTGTTTTTTTGCAATTCATTCTCTTCTAAATATACTTCTAATGTACTTTTCTTTATGCTATCTTTTTTTAAAGATAGGTCCTGGGGCACCTTGCTGATTCATTTGGAAGAGCATGTGACTCTTGATGGGGGGGGTCATGGCTTCGAGCCCCACGTTGTGTGTAGAGATTGCTTAAATAAATAAAACTTGAAATAAATAAAGATACGTCTTACCACAGTCTTTGAGGTCCTCTGGACAGCCAATATCTTATTTTCTAAGGAAAACTTAATGCACTTCACTTCTCCTTTGTCTTCCATTCTTTAAGGGGAAAAAAAGTATATTATGAGTTAAAGTTAATAACCGAATACGAGCATCTAGCATTTTGTGAGAAAAGTTATATACTCAGGAAGCAGCAAATCTTAGTTGAAAATTGTTTCTAAAACTATCAGGACTCCTTTTCAAACAAGAAAATCCAACTGGCAACAAGATGCTGATGAAATTCACAGTTTTGTGGTTAAGTGACTGACGAATTAAGAACACGTGCATTTTCCCTTGAGGATCAGACATAAATAAGCAATACCCACACAGCAACCTTCTCCAGCAACTACCCTCTTCCCTCCCCCATCGCTCTCACAGCAGAGTGCGTGAGGGAGGGTAAGCTTTCCTGTTTACTCCCCAACCTACAGGACCCCCAACAGACGTTACAAAAGGGAAGTCAACGGATGGATTACAGGGCAGCACCAGCAAACTTTTGATTGTGGTGACGGTTAACACATGTCAAAACTCATCAACTGTATATGTTAAATATATGCAGTTAATTCTACCACAACAAAACTGTTAAAAATACACCAAATTGCTAAAATTTTTACCAATAAATTTAAAATTTAAAAGAGGGTAAATCCAGTATCTTCCTCCTCAAACCCGACTAAGCCCCCAAATCTGGATCATCACGGGCTCACTCTCATTTTCCACGCCCAAATGACCACCAAAACTTACCCAAGAGCTTCCTAGGCACCTCCTGAGTGCCTGTGTGATACCAGTCTACTCTGCCTTCGGTCTGGTCTTTAGTATGCCTGGCTCACACCATCGCAATCACTGCTCAGTGGTATCCCTGACGTTGATATGCCCCCAACTAACGCAGCTTCAACTAACGCAGCTTCAACTAACACAGCTTCAATGTGGTGAACAGCATGATCTTTCCAAGCACTGATAAGATCATGCCATGCCCCATCTTACCAATTTTCAATAAGAAGATAAAACCCTAATTCCATCGTAGAATACATAAGGTTCAAGCTGACTCCTGCCAGTGGCCAGACTACCACCACCTCCCCTTCCCTGCAACGACACCCGATGTCAGTTACACAGACCTGGAGGTCCCCCAAACACCATGCTTGCTCGCCTTTACACTCCGTGTTCTCTCCATCTGAAAGGCCTGCTCTCTTCCCCATGTAGAATCATCCCATTCAAGCTTTAAAGTTTTGCTCAAAGGCTCCCTCCTCTCTGAGGCCTTCCCCATCCTGGGCAGTGGTGTTTCCTGGCCTACCCCAAGATAAATGTCTCATCTCTTTTGTTTGCCCAAATTCTGAAGACAGTGCTATTACAGCACTTTTCACAATCAACAGAATGTGTCCACACACTTGTCTCCCATACTAAATTTATGAGTTCTGCAAAAGGGTGCCAGGCTGATTCATAACCTTCCCATGCCTGGTGCCTCGCACAGGGGCTACAATCAGTGTTTGTCCAACAAATGAGTGATTTGTTTCCTATGTCAAAAACTGTTTCCTATTAGCACAGGCCACCTGCAAAAAAAACTTAAGTCACCACTGAACTGAGGGCCCACATTGTACTTTCCCCTTCTGTAATCACAGGAGTTAAAGACCAGATAATTTATCAACCAAATTGAGATACTTCTGAAAGTGAAAGGAAGTGCTATTCATAATTATACTGGTTCAACTTGCATAAACTGGGACATCCAGTCACCTTTAGTGGAAGCTGGGATTTTCTTAAAATGCATTATTATATAGGAAACACTAACCAGGAATCTCCTTCACCTACCACACAGCCTGAAAAGACCAGGGCCAGATGAGGAAATGAAGGCCCTCCTCAGTCAGGATGCCCGAAACGGGCACATCAGTAAACTGACTTGCTAATTTCAAGTGCCAGGAAGTGGGTTCCCTATATCTGAGCATTTGATTCCCAAATCAAGAGAGAACCACTCTACACATTTCACTCTGACACTAAGTACTGATCTGTGCCACAACACTGCGCAGCAGGTGTCTGCTTCCCTCTCCCTACACACAGGGATTGGCAAGTGAGTATACACTTCAGGCCTCTTACAGCCAAAGGACAAACTTTTAAAACCACCTTCTGAATGAGAAACAGAAACACATCATTTTGTTTACATGTGACAATTATTCTGTGAATGTCAATAGTTACCGAAATGAGATGGGATTCCTATCATCTGGGCCTTTAACTACCACCCCGGTAGCTCCACCTGAGCGAACTGCAAAAACCTGGGAGGGAAAAGAAGCAACGTTAATGGTCTGAACTTTGAAAGACTTCAGACACACAGACCAGCCCACAAGCGATTATTTCTACTACACCCCACTCCTGGTTCAGCTGAACTAACGTGGCATCTATCAATCTGCAGATGCTTGGTGTTCACATCAATTTTAAGGGACAAAAGCTAGAGACCGAAAAGATTATGCCATTCCGGGTGTAGCCCACTGGGCAAGACCCGGCCGGGGTCCCCGCGGCTACACATTTTAATCGGGTAAGGCAAAGGCGCCCCTGATGCACTTGAGCACATCCTGCTACTCCTCACACTGCTTTTCCCCCCTTTCCAAAATCCCGAGAGTAAGGGCAATCTCAACGTCTAAATCCTCGACTGCAAGGGTAACTAATGACAAATAAAGACAACAAAGGCACCGGGAAAGGGCTGGCGAGCTAACAGCTGACCACACCGGCCAAAGGGTGCTGCTGGGTGGGCGGCGCAGGTTCGGGGTCCACCTGGCTATCACTTTGGAGAAGAAAGCCCCCGCCGAGGTGGCTCCCGGTACCTCGGCCCACCCAAGAGCCCGGAGCTGGCGCCACTCCGGCGCCGGGACCGGAGGGGAGGCCCCAGGCCTGGCCCCCCCTCCGCCGGCACCCGGCCTGGGTGAGCGCGGGAGGCCCCTGGGGCGCGGGGGACGGCGGGCGGGGCGCGTCCGGCCGCGCGGGGGGAGGAGGGCGCGGACCGGCCCGGACCTGCTTGTTGGCCTCATCGAAGAAGACGCAGTTGACCGGGTTCGCCTTCTCGAAGTGCACCGGCCGGTCGCACAGCTCCAGGTAGTAGTCCTCCTCACCCATAGCGGGCGCCGCCACTGCGGCGGGGAGTCCGGGGGCGGCCGCCAGCGTGGAGCGGGGCGAGCGGCGCCCGGCACAGGAACGCGACGAGTCGGGCCGGGCGGTGGCGACGGCGATCCCAGCGGGCGCGGAGGCCGCTTCCTAGTGCCACGCCCCCACCCCGTCCGGCACGTGACCCGCCGGCCTCCCTGCTTAAACCGGCGACCGCGGACCGGCTGCGGTGGGGCCTAGCTACCGCGACCGCGCCCTGGTTGGCGCGAGAGGCTCCGCCCCTTTCTTGGAGGGCGGAGTCCCAGCGCGGCTCGCGGGGCGAGGGCGTGCCCCGGAAGCCGCGCGGAGCCGAGGGCGGGTGTTGGCACCGCCACTCCCGCCTGCGCCTTCCCCGGCGAGTGCAGGTCCTGGCACCCTCCCAGTCCATCCCGGGAGGTCTGCGCCCGGCGCGCGCCCGCCTGGGGCAGGGCTGCCCCTGGTCTAGGGAAGGCTTACGCTGTCTCTCCCGCGGGTTTATTGAGCCTGTCTCTGGGAACTTAATAAGTAAAGGAGGGGAGAGCTGTGGCCAGCGCCTGATGCTGTGAGCATGTAACAGGGAAACCCAGTTTAGACTGCAGTCAGAAAGGCTGTTTTGAATGGCTTTGACATTTGAGGGAAGGTGGGGGAAACTCCTCACTCAACGGAGATGGAAGGGATCACGGATGACCCCGAGGTGGCCATTCTCCAACAACCGGATGGATTTGAGCACCGTTCTCCAAGATAAAGAGGCTTGAGAAGTTTGGCAGGGAAGTGGTGAAGATCAAGACGCTTTGGCATCTTGTCTGTCCAAGGCGCTTTGGACCTGTGAATCCGAGGAGAAATGACATCTACATAGATGGGTATGTGGGGCTGAAGCTCACCAAGAGTGACAAGGCTGGAGATAGTGATCGGTATTGGAATACTGATGGTATTTGAAGCCGTGGAATTGGATGGCATTGCCTCACATAGTGAAAAAAAATGAAAAAACCAACCTGCAGAGGCTGGGAAGAGGAATCAGTAAGGGACAACAAGCAGAGCCAGCCAGAGAAGTACACAGAAACCTACGGGTGGGGGAGGCCTCTGGGGCTGAGTGAAGAACTGCTTCAGGAGATGGGGTAAGTCCACTTTGACAAAGGCTGTTGAGAAGTCAGAGAAAGTGCTGAAAAGTATCCCCCACTTTTAACCCAAGGAAGACACTGATACTTGCATGGGAGGACCGTCACTGCAGGGACTGGGAGGCAGAGCCACAGGGCAGGCAGCGGGTTGGAAGTGAGAATGGGAAGTGAGGAAGAGGTGATAGGCAGCAGATCCGTCGTAACCGATCTGGAGAAGCTTGTCCCTGAGAGGAGCAGAGGAATGGACATGGAGGTGGCCCAGGGTGGGAGGAAGTTAGGAATGAGTTAGGTTTTTCAAGTGATAGCAGCAGCAAGGCCGTGCATACTGTACTGACATAAGAACATTCCAAGTCTCTTGTGGAGCCCAGGAATCTGTAGAGGCCAGGGACCTCTGAGACAGAGTTGGAGGATTATATTTATGAACAGCGGACTGTGGCATCTTTGTGTGAGTGAGAATGGTTCAGCAGAGAGATAACGATGGAATATACAGAGAAGACGAGATAGCCAAGTGAGGTGAGATGGGGCAGGACCCAGAGTGCATATGGAGCGGTTGGTGGTTTCTGTAAGCACAGGATAGAAGGAGGCTGGGAGATTTATGGGTAGGAAAATGAGGGCCTTCCTTCCTCTCCTTTCTCTGGTAAAAAGAAAGAAAGAATGGGGAAGGAGGGAGGGAGGAAGGAAGATGAAAACGAAGGAAAAAACCTATTCCTGTAAGGCTCCTACCATTGACCATACCTGTCCTTATCTCTGTCATCTACTAACCAGGATCACAGAATCCTTCCACCCACGTCCTGCCGTCACCTATCTGCATACCTGCGGAAGACCCATCCCACCCGTGCTGTCCCCCCAACCGCTCCCCTGCGACCATTCTTCACCACCTCCAGGACCCTCCTTTGTCCTACCTTTTCTGCCCAGTCTATTGCCCCCTCCTTCCCTTCCCTCCTCATCCAGCTGCAATTCCGTGTTCCTCCACGCCAGTACTGGTTTTGCCCTTACCCTCAACATCCTTGCTCCTCGGTCCTTGTCGCACTCGCCTGACAGATTCTGAGCCCAGATGCACCCCACCTGCGTTCTCTGCAGCTGCCCCTGCAGGAGGAGCCACACAGCCTGCAGCGGCACTGGTAGCGCAAGCGGCCCTCGGCCCTGCCTGGCTCTCCTCCATTCCCTGCGAAGACACTGCCAAGCCTTCTCCGCTCTCCTCAGCCTGCCTGCAGCCCTTCCCAGACACCTACCTGGCCTCTGCTTATGGAGAAAAGTGAAGTCCTCAGATGGTAGCGCATGGTCCAGCCCACCATTGCTGCCCCTCCGCCCTTCCTAGCCTCCATGGAGCCAGAAAAATGCCTGTCCTGCCCAAGAAAGTTTTCAGATCCCATTTTGCACTTTCTCGGAAAACTTAAGGTGTTGATTATCACACCTCTCCTCACATCCTGGCTCCTAGAAACAGTCTTTCACTTTGCTGCTCTCTTCTTAAAAATACAACTGAGCTGAAGACAAACACAAAAAACCTTTCCTGAAACCCTTATGTGTCTCCAGCTATAACTCCCTTTTTCTCCTTCACAGCACACTTCTCCGAAGAATTGTGATGCTCTGCCCCCACTTCCCCAACCTTACCCTACTCATCTGGCTTCGGCCCCATCACTGGAAACAGAAGAGCTCTCATGAAGGTCCCCAGGGAGCTCCATGTCACTATGTTCATGACAATTTTTCAGTCATTTTATGGATTTCCCAGACGGACTCCATACCTTTTAATCACTCCCTCATTCTCATGAGACTTTGTTGATACTTATGTTGGTCATTACTTGAGTAAATCTGTTCCTGTTGTACACGAGATCCATGAGGGGAGGGCTGTGTGTCCTTACTGCAGTCTGTCCCTCAGCCCTTACATCCAGTTGCCTACTTCTCACCTCCACTAGGGTGCCTCAGAGCACTTGGAAACCAGCATCTCTAAAACAACCCTCCTGACCTTCGCCACCAGGGTCCTCTCTCAGAGTCCCATATCCCTGTCAGTGGCACCTCCGCCCATGCAAGTGCACAAATCAAGAAGCTGGAGTCATCCTGGACACTTCTCACCCTCTTACCATCCCCCATGCCAAAAGGCCAATAGACCATCGATAAGGAAAATCTGGAGATTGAGGAACCCCCAGGGTTCACTACTCCAACCTTCCCTACAGAAGAGCATATTTGGAACAAGAGCCCCACAGGAATGTTGGCCAAGAGCAGGGAGGAAGTAGTGCAGTTGGTGGCGGGGGGTGGGAGGGGACGAGGTGCTCAGAAAAGACTTGCCTTCCTTCGATGCTGGGCATCTTATCCCTCTTCCCAGAGAGTTAGATTCAGTCAACTATGACAGAGTTTTGTTCCCAACAGAGCCAGGCTTAATTTTTGTGCACCTCGCCTTGGGTCTGCTAGCAGCACTGAGAACTGCCAGGTGATGGGTGAGAGGTCCCCGAACACAGTGGTCTTGACAGTGGCTGTGGCCCAGGAAATGCAGAGCATCTGGTAAGCCACTGCAAGCCACTCAGAATCCAGAGGATCTGGAACTACCTTGGCAAACCAAATCTTTGCCTCTCCATGGTCCATTTCTTTCAGTCACAAATGTATTTGTTTCTGTATAGTTGAGCATTAAAGACATTGATTGGTTGCCCCATGCCCATATAGAATTCCCTATTCTTCCCAGATTTAAAAAATTATCTTCTCCTTGGTAAACATTAAGACTCTGAAACTAGCCCATAAAAATAGATCAACAGTCATTTCTAGAATTTTGAGTTTGCACATATTACCAGGACTCAAATTCATAAGTGCCTGATACCAGCTTGGGAATCACCATAAATGACAGACCAGAATTAGAATTAGGTGAGAATGTTCTTTCCATTGTATCCCCATAAGTCTGATAATTCCTTCATTTATCAGAAGGTTCTTTTTGTGGGTTTCCTTTGTTACTTAGGCAGATGTTTCCTTCCTCATTTCAGTTATTTTTGTTCATATTTCCTATTTCTGCTCCTTTAAATTGACAAAAGGTTGCAAAGGTATATCTCTCTTTTAGTGTCTTTTTATTGCTGCCACACTTTTTGTCAGCTCTAGATTTGATTTTCAGAGACAAAAGTTTATATGCAAACCAGAATAATGCAAATGTTTTATATTCAAAATTCACTTTTATTGGGAATAAAAAGTTTCATTTTTTAAATGATTCATTATGGGTGCCTGGGTGGCTCAGTTGGTTAAATGATTCATTAAACAATCTCAAAACATTGTTCTTTTAACTGAATTTCGTTGTTTTGGAAGATAATTTGAGCAAAATTTTTCTAAAAGCCTGTTTTTACATTGAAACCCGTGGAAGTACCAGTAGGCACCTTGCCCATCCCTTCCCATGACTACATTGGAGTAAAAGTTCACAGGGGTGTTTAAACTCAGACATTTCCCAAGATTCAATGGCTCCACAAACCAGTTGGTTGTCAGCATCAAAAGGTTTATTTTTTTTTTAAGATTTTATTTATTTATTTGACAGAGAGAGACACAGTGAGAGAGGGAACACAAGCAGGGGGAGTGGGAGAGGGAGAAGCAGGCTTCCCGTGGAGTGGGGAGCCCAATGTGGGGCTCGATCCCAGGACCCTGGGACCATGACCTGAGCCGAAGGCAGACGCCCAATGATTGAGCCACCCAGGTGCCCCAGAATCAAAAGGTTTTAAAAATAAAAACATGCTATATTGTAATTATGAAAAGAATGCACACATGGAAATCAATATAATTTCAATAGTACAGGAAGATATCAAGTGCAAAAAAGCTCTCTTCTCTCTCCTCCCCCAAAATCCTCAAGGCCATAACCCAGAGGAAGCCAGTGTTACCGGGTTCTATTTTCAGCTGTGACGATAACACTATAACTGATATACTTACCTCTTTATGAGCTTCAGGTAGTACATGTTACTCTGCTATGAAAAGATAGGGAATTTAGCACACTGATCTGCCTCTCACCTCCCTTGCCCAATACTTCTCAATTTTTGTTGCTTTTATTTTTAGTTCTTCTAGTATTTACTCACATAACTTCATATGATATACCCAGACCTCCATTTTTGATCCAGCAATTGTTAGGAAGTTTCCAGGGATTCTACACTGTATATGATAGGAAGGGGCACCTGGGTGGCTCAGTAGTTAAGCGTCTGCCTTTGGCTCAGGTCATGATCCCAGGGATCGGCTCAGGTCATGATCCTGGGGTCCTGGGATCGAGCCCCACATGTGGCTCCCTGCTCAGCAAGGAACCTGCTTCTCCCTCTCCCATTCCCCCTGCTTGTGTTCCCTCTCTCGCTGTGTCTCTCTCTGTCAGATAAATAAAATCTTAAAAAAAAAAAAAAAAGATGGGGAGATGAGGGCGCTTATACCAACCCCTCTCCTCTGCTTCCCCCTCCCTAGTCCAAACTTATATTGTCAAGGTTTGGGGCATTTACATTCCATAAATATAAATTCAGTTCCTTGTCTATGGATTGTATCTAAATGTTGAAAAGTAATAGTATTAAAATACTACCGTTATTTCTTAAAATATTATGATATTCACCATAGAACCATGTGGAATTATTGGGTGTATAGAAAAGTAAGTGTTATTGTTGGTCCCTACACTTGACCACTTAAAAAGAATGTCCCGGGGGGGCGCCTGGGTGGCTCAGTCGGTTAAACATCTGCCTTCAGCTCAAGTCATGATCCCGGGGTCCTGGGATTGAGCCCTACGTCAGGGAGTCTCCTTCTCCCTCTGACCTCCCCCCTGCTTGTGCTCTCTCTCTCTCTAATGAATAAGTAAAAAATCTTTAAAAAAAAAAATAATGTCCCAAATATCAAGGTCAAAATTCTCCACCATTTGCTCAAAAAATCATGGCATGTTTTTGTTTACTTCAACAAAAGTTGACTTTGTTATATAGTTTTATGTTTTTTCTGGAGCTTTTACTTGCTTTTCTTTTTGTTGTTGTTGACAGAGGAGAGTGTGTTCATTGTATCTTTTAGCTCTCCCTGGCTTTTGTTCCTTATCCGGTTTGTGTGATGGGTGTGATAGACTCCATGTTGTTCTTTCACAGGTCCTACATGGAGCCCTCTCATTTCTTATTGTTTTAATTGTATAACTATTATATCAGTTGGAATTGCATTTGCCCAAGTAACAGAAAACCCAACTTATAGTAGCTTACCCAAATAGGACTTGAATTTTTCTTAAGGAATAAGAAATCTGGAAGTCAGCCATTCAGGCCTGGTACTAGGGTTCCATGATGCTTCAGAGAGCCACATTCCTTCTTTTTCTCACGTAGCCCATTCATCCTCAGTGTGTGGCTTTCATCCTCATGCTCATCACCTGATAGCTGCAGGATGGATGCTTACTTCTAACACCAGTTCTACAGTCTCCAGGCAGGAAGAAGGGGAAAGGCAGAAGGCAAAGAGCTGGTGCTGGCTGAGTTTGATCATCTTTTAAGAGTTTTCCCAGAGTGCTTGCTTCGGCAGCACATATACTAAAAAAAGAGTTTTCCCAGAGGTGGGGTGCCTGGGTGGCTCAGTCAGTTGGGCATCCAACTCTTGATTTTGGCTAGGGTGGTGATCTCAGGGTCGTGAAACTGGGCCCCGAGTCAGGTTCTGTGCTCATTGCGGAGTCTGCTTGGGACTCTCTCTCTCTCTCCCCCTCTCCTTCTGCCCCTCCCCTCCCCCGCTTGTACTCTCTCTCTCTCTCTCAAATTAATAAAATCTTAAAAAAAAAATTTCCCAGAGGATCACACCCAGCGACCTCTACTTATATCCTATCAGTCAAAGTTGTCTGATGGCCACTCTAGCTGCAAGTCTGGGAAATGTAGTTTGTAGCGAGGTACATTATGCCCTATAGAAAACAAGTTTTTAGGGGCGCCTGGGTAGATCAGTCATTAAGTGTCTGCCTTCAGCTCAGGTCATGATCCCAGGGTTCTGGGATCGAGCCCCACATTGGGCTCCCTGCTCCACGGGAAGCCTGCTTCTCCCTCTCCCATTCCTCCTGCTTGTGTTCCCTCTCTTGCTGTGTCTCTGTCAAATAAATAAAATCTTAGAAAAAGAAAAAAAGAAAAGAAAACAAGTTTTTAGTAAGGGGGGTGTAAATAGATAGTGGATTAGCAATTAGCAATGAGCTTTTTCTCATTGCATTTCAAAGTTAGTTGTGCAGTTTCTTAAAATTCGGATTCCCAGGTCCTATCATTCCCCCCCCACCCCTCCCTTAGGAATGTTACTCTGCTGTTAGTAAACTCCTCAAATGAACATTTGCATGCAGATTTTCACCTATTCACAAACATGTGGGGACCACTGTTTAGTTGTGAAGGTCAAAGCTGTATATGAACTCTTTTTTCCCTATAGGGATTATTTAATCATCACATATTTCTAACGCTCCCACTTTGTATCAGCATTTCCTTAAGCTCTTTGGAGAACATGAACATGTCAAGTACTTATTACCCTGGCTCCAAAAAGTGCATTATAATGCCGCATACGTGATACACAAAACTCTAAGGAATATAATATTGTAATAGAGCTAAGAAGAGCTACAGGGGCTTATCGGCCTCGCCATGCTTTGAAGACCAGTGTGGTCAAACACGGGAGGGGGCCAGTTGGAGGATGCAGAGGCAGGTGAAGAAGGCAGGAAGAACATGTGACAACAGGTACACCATAACACTAGGGGCAGAAGAAATAGTCTACCCAATGCAGTAGTTTAGAGTAACAGCATACGATTTAGGGGTAATGGGAAAGGACTGCTACGTTATTACCATGTCATAACTTTTTGTGACTTAAAAGCTTTGCATAAAATAATATCTGATCTCTTCAGAGCTAACATTTGAGTCAAAATTTTCT